TGAATAACTCAGTTATTCCAATTTCATTCTGTTCATTCACAGCCAGCTTTGCTAGCAATTGATTAAACCAGGTTAAATGAACTGAAACTATTCCCCAAAATTGCTTGTTATACCAAGACATACTAGTTGCATGTCCCTCTTGAAAATCTCTACAATAGAACAATTTCCCTGAAATCAAAATGCTTAACTTTGGGTCATTCAACTAGGAAGAAGGAGAAAAGGTGAGGAAGAATGGAGAGAAGTGTGTTTGAAATCTCCTCAGACATGAGGATCAAATAGGATCTTGGCTTGATCTTTCTCATTTCTCTCATATTCCCTCAAAGCTCCTATGAAATGGGGGAAAGTAGTAAGGAGTGGGACTGATCTCCGGCAGGAGGGGGCAATAACATAACATACAGTATTTATTTATTTGTTCCATTTTTACCTCACCCCTCTAGATTTGGGAATCTACTCTGGCTTACATAATATAAAGATAAAAACAGCATCAAAATAACTTTGATCATAAGAGCAGAAAGATCAATAAAGAACACAGGATCCAAGATGGGATAAAGAAGCTTTGTAATGGGAGGAGAGAAGGCCTGCAGGAAGAACCAAGTCTTCAACTTGTTTTTAAAAATTTCCAGTGAGGGTGCCAGTTGAATCTCCGGTAAGGTGTTCCAAAGATGATGGGCTACCACCGAGAAGGCCCAGTTTCTTGTTCTCTCCTTTAGATAAACTCAATTATTTAACCCCAAACCACCTCCCAAAATACCAGTTTGCCTTAAATAGGGAGAAACATGAAGCAACCACCTTTCATAAATTCAGCAGTCAATGCTCCAGTAGAGTGACCTGCAGACTGAAATATAGAAGCCAATGATCTCCAATGTGAATGGGTTGCCTTTCAAGAAAAGATTTCCTACAATTTTGGAAAACTACCTGGCCTAAGAGCAAAAGGCTTCACCATGGATCATGCTACTAACTGGAACAGTAAGCAGGGGAAGGTTATTAGGTGTTATTAGGTGCTACACCCAGAATCATACTACAACAAGAATGGTAAATATAATGAAATCAGTGAGACTTTAGAAGCCAGTTGGTCAGTTAAGCAAGGCTACAGCACCCCCTCATCCATGATTCCCACCCAAATGGTGCACTAAAAGTATGACTTATTTTAAAAAGTATGACTTATTGCAACAGGAAAATCATTTCTGAAAGCTGAGCAGGAGGTTGAAGTTAAACAGCAGCTCCCGTAATTTTATTTATTTTTGCAAGACTGTTGGTACTAGTTTAAGTACTGAACCAGACATGTATTTAAATGACTTTCCCTTATGAACAGTGCCTGTTCCAAGTACACTTAACATAGCACAAAATAGCTGGCTATACCAGCTCTTCCTGGTCTCAGGACGCAAGGAATTGCTTGATTTATCCCGCGTCCCTGGGCTGGGGGCAGGATGCATGGGCCATACTGTGGCTCCTCCCTTGCCCTGTTCTCTGCTGCCTTTTGGGTACTTCTGCTGATGGAGCAATGTGGTTTCAGGATGTCAGCTACTTTGATGTTTGTTCCAGTTACTTATCATGTTATGGTCCAGTTACTTTTTCCAGTTACCTATGATGATAAGATTTTTTATCCACAACAATCTACTTTAATGGAGCTTTCAGGGTTACACATGCTTAAAGTCCCACCAAATCCTATATTTTACAGATACAGAATGCTGATGGGGAACTGCTTGTGGGCCAGGGGGTTTCCCACCATGTTGACAATAATTTTCTGCTTCTCTCTCTGGTTGTATTTAAACACCTTAAACATCCTGCATGGAACCAAACTGTGTTTACAGGCCAGAGAGGTATTGCACTGAGCTGACTCCTGAGTAGACATGTTCAAAACTGAGCTTGATAAACTCCACATTGAAGATTTGGTGAGAAAATATCCAAATTAATCCAATCCTACCCCACTTTGATTTGGTCTCACTTTCTCAGTTTCTGGATTTGCCTAATGCTCTGCGGACCACAGCAAACTACGGCAAACTAAAGAAATGGGAGTACCCGATCACCTTATCTATCTCCTGAGAAATCTATATGTGGGACAGGAAGCAACAGCTAGAACTGGATATGGAATAACTGACTGGTTCAAAATTGGGAAAGGATTATGACCAGGCTGTATATTGTCTCCCTGCTTATTTAACTTATATGCAGAATACATCATGTGAAAGGCTGGACTGGATGAATCCCAAGCCGGAATTAAGATTGCCGGAAGAAATATCAGTAACCTCAGATATGCAGGCAATACCACTCTGATGGCAGAAAGTGAAGAGGAATTAAAGAACCTCGTAATAAGGATGAAAGAGGAGAGCACAAAAAATGGTCTGAAGCTCAACATAAAAAAAAACTAAGATCATGGCCACTGGTCCCATCACCTCCTGGCAAATACAATGGGAAGATATGGAGGCAGTGACAGATTTTACTTTCCTGAGCTCCATGATCTCTGCAGATGGTGACAGCAGCCACGAAATTAAAAGATGACTGCTTCTTGGGAGGAAAGCAATGACAAACCTAGATACGTAGCATCTTAAAAAGCAGAGACATCACCTTGCCGACAAAGGTCTGCATAGTCAAAGCTATGGTTTTTCCAGTAGCGATGTATGGAAGTGAGAGCTGGACCATAAAGAAGGCTGACCGCCGAAGAATTGATGCTTTTGAATTGTGGTGCTGGAGGGAACTCTTGAGAGTCCCCTGGACGGCAAAGAGAACAAATCTATCCATTTTGAAGGAAATGAACCCTGAATGCTCACTGGAAGGACAGATCCTGAAACTGAGGCTCCAATACTTTGGCCATCTCATGAGAAGACTCCCTGGAAAAAACCCTAATATTGGGAAAATGTGAAGGCAAGATGAAATGGTTGGACAGTGTCATTGAAGCTACCAACATGAGTTTGACCAAACTCCAGGCGGCAGTGGAAGACAGGAGGGCCTGGCGTGCTCTGGTCCATGGGATCATGAAGAGTTGGACGCAAGTTAACAACTAAATAAGAACAACAACGAATACTCTTCACCTTTCAAAATGCTAGAATGTAGTCCTTCACAGCCGTCTGAAATTGGATAATCTGGACTAAATATTTTTTTCTTCTTGATACAGCAGTATCTACAATAAGCCTGCAATCAAATTACTTCAAAATGAGGGGCAGCCAAATGTATGGTCTTATGCTGCAAAATGCATGGACTCCGGTGGCAGCTTAAAGATTAATGGGTTTTTTTGACATAAATTTTTGTTGTCTACAAACCACTTTTTCAGATGTATTATAACAGCCTTAAAAGGCAGACATCCATACACAAGAAGGGGTTATGAAATGACATTGCTGTATCTTACACATTCTTGTTCGCATCTATAGCATCATAGCTTACACAAAAAAGTTCCTCTGGCCCAAGGTTTCAGAAAGCAGTTTAAAATATGGTCTCAAAAAAGCTTTCTGAGAATCAGAAACAAAGAAATAAGTACCTGGCCACTAATGGATAACTCCCCAATGCCCAGCTTTTCTACTCTCAAAGGTGTCTCAATGTATGAAATTGTCTTTCATGGAGGAAGACACTTTGTTGTTTGTAGTTTAGTCGTTAAGTTGTGTCCGACTCTTTGTGACCCCATAGACCAGAGCATGCCAGCCCCTCCTGTCTTCCATTGCCTCCCGGAGTTGGGTCAAATTCATGTTGGTCACTTCGGTGACACTGTCCAACCATCTCATCCTCTGTCGTTCCCTTCTCCTCTTGCCCTCACACTTTCTCAACATCAGGGTCTTTTCCAGGGAGTCTTCTCTTCTCATGAGATGGCCAAAATATTGGAGCCTCAGCTTCAGGATCTGTCCTTCCAGTGAGCACTCAGGGTTGATTAGTAGTGACTTTTCAAGTTTATTTATTTATTTTATTTATTTAATTTATATGCCACCCACACTACCCAAAGGTCTCTGGGCGGCTTACAGCATTTAAAATACAATAAAGATTTGTAACAATTAAAATACAATTAAAATATATATAAAATTGCCATCGGACCCACAGCTAATATTATTTCAGTTAAAAGCCTTCTGGAACAGGAAGGTTTTGACCTGGCGCCGAAATGTCATCAGTGTCGGCGCCAGACGAATCTCAGTCGGGAGGGCATTCCATAGTCTGGGGGCAGCTGCCGAAAAGGCCCTTTGTCTACAAGCCGTCCCTCTTACCTCCTTGAGGGACGGCTCTTTCAAAAGGTTCCCCTGGCTAGATCTTAACTGCCGGGTAGGCTCATATGGAAGGAGGCGGTCCTTCAGATATCCAGGGCCCAAGCCGTTAACTAGTGGTGACTTTTCAAGATCTTAAGGAAAAGCTCTTCCTAACTATGGTCTTTCAAATTGATTTTGACTAGGATATTGCTTGAGTGCTTCTAAAGCAGTGGTTCCAAAACATGCATGTTTTCTATGATTGTGTGTGTGGATGCAAATGTGCTTGCAAGAGTGACAGCAAGATATTCTAAAGAAAAACATTTGTACCAGTTTAAAACAATTCTGTGACAGATATTACTAAAATGCAATATTCCTCAATAAAAACTATTTGAGATAATTTTTAATTTGAAAAATGTTCTACTAAAAAGAGAGTTGGACAATGGGAAAAGTAACGGGGAGACATGAGGATTTTTTATTTAAAAAATCAGAAAGCACTCATGATGGCAAGAAGTTTGTGAACTACTGCTCTAAAACATGTGCTCAATGCTAAGCTATGGTCCTACCACATACAGTATTATCAACAGTCCTCTAACACTACAGGTATGTTCTTATGTTAAATGCAATTGTTTCAGAAAATGTGCAATTTCAGTATACAATTGCTCACAAGCCAACCCTGTCACTGCAATCATTTTCAACAATGATCCCCAAACAATGTCAAGGGCATACAAATAGTTTTACACAAACAGGTTAAGCAAGCAAATAAAACAATTAATTCTGCTGAAAAAAAAATGAAAACGCTCAAAGATCTGCCACCACCCCTCTTTTGTGATTTTTACTTACTTCAGAAAATATCTCTGGCCAGAAGGTGTCTTTGCCATCTCCCAACCAGGTGGTAGGGGCACATCATCAGGGATTTCAAAAGATGACTGGCGGAGATGCTGAGAAGGTGCAGCCCCAGGAACTACACTGGAAGGAGTAAGCGTTCCTGGAGAAATGGTTCCCAACTGCAGTGAGGCTGGAGAGGAGTGGGCGCGGACATGTTGAGGAGTCAGGGCTCCAGCTGTCCCTGCATCCGTGCTGGCCTGCAGAAAATTAAGCAGTTCCTTTAGTCTGAGATACAGCCAGATTATCACTGACAGCAATCTGTTTTTTAAAAGCATGTGTTTTCCACTTGAAATGTTTAACAACATGATCATGTACTCTCAAGGCAAATGAAAATGTAAGACAATACTGCTCCTTGCACTAGTGAAGTGCCAAAGTTCATGCTGAAGTGGATATGAGACACATGTCCCATTAGCAAAGTAAGAATTTAATTAATGTTATTCTAAATACAGAAGTCTGTGATTAAATGCTGGAATCAATGTTCCCTCTAATTTTCAGCCCCACTGGGCAAGACTCTGCTCCTCGCATGCTTGACTTCGCCCTGCACACGTGATTCTCCCCCTCCACATGGGGTTCTGTCAAACCCAGAACAAAAGGGGCTGAAAATTATTGTTGGTGTGTAAAAGAGGAAGGCTGTGTGGAGGGGAGCAGAGTTGCAGGCATGCACCTTGGCTGGAATTGAACTGGACTTATCTTTTTTTAAAAAAAATGCTTTGAAACAAAACTTTTACTGAATGCATAGAGGTGCATGGGGTAGGGGGGCAAACCGTTTTAGTTTTCAGTTTGCACCTATTTCTTTCTAATACCAAATACCATACCTGGCTCTGGCTCTACCTCCCCCTACTGTTTCCCCTTCCTTTGTCACCCATCTTTATCAAGAACATCAAGAGACAGCTGTGAAAGCTATTTAAATAGTATTACAAAACAGGACAAATGCGGTCCACATTGCAAACAGTAACACATGTCTGGTTTTGGTAAAATGTGTTCCAGATGACAAAAGATTTGAGCGGGGAGGGAAGAAGGGAAGGCATGATCTAAAGCAGGACAGGGCAAACTGGGTTTTTCTCCAGGCTAACTTTCCTCCTGTTACTGTATCTCTGGAGATAAAATATACAAATGCTGCCATTTAGAACATGGCTGGTGATGAGATCCCCAACCCTCCTTTCCAACACAATTACTTTCAGCTATAAATTGCAGAGGACTGATGTCTTGAAAAATCACCAGTCTCTTTCAAAAGCAAGATTTATAAACACAGTGGAGTATTCCCCTTTCCACACCACCTTCCAATGGACAACCTGAAGGGAAACGCTGTAAAATCCCCACAAAAAGTCTTTCTCACTGTAAAACTGAAAATGAGGAAAGAACCAGCTCTAGTAGTGGACCATATCCAATGGTTTCCATCCATGAAAAAAAGCTGTCCTTTCACTTACGGAAGTGTCCAATTTAGCAGAGGGCTCTGTTAAAAGATAAGACAGGGAAGGTCTTTTGCATTTCTTTTTTGGCTGATCACCCGTCTCCCCTGCAGGATCCTGTACTACTTTTTACAATGATCTAAAGCAGGGGTGTCCAACCTTTCACCTTCCCTGGGCCACATTAGAAGATGAAAATTTGGTTTGGGCCGCACATACATTTGGTTTGGGCCGCATGAGGGGGCAGCCCTAGCCTTCCTCCGCAACCCCGCTCCAAGCGCGCTTACTGGCAGCTGCGATCTTAGACAGCGGAGGCTGCCAGCTTCAACTCCGGCGGCTTTATGGAGCTGGGAGGGGGTCCGCCTATTGACGGGGATGGCACAATGCAGCCCCCCTGTCCCCTCCCCTCCCCTCACCCTCCTTCCTTCCTTCCCTCTCTCCCCCTCTACTGTTGTGACATGCCCCGGCCACATTCTGGCCACAAGCGCCGGTAGTGTAACTTGAAACTTTGGAATTTCTTTAAAAATCAAAAATTGCACTGGGCCGCATTACGAGCTGACCTGGGCCGTATGCCCGGAGGTTGGACAAGCAAGATCTAAAGTGGTCCGCCAACACTCTGGAGCAAACTGGAAGTGCTACACAGGGGACTGGCACAGACGACATTCCATCCCCTTCAAAGGTTCTTCTGTGAACAGAAGGGCACAACTAGATTCAACTAATTAAAGAAGTGAGCAAATCCTTCCTTGTTCAGTTAATATAGTCCAGATTATGCTAAATATATCCACAGTTGTAAATACCCATCATGGAGGAAGCACACTCTTACTATTAGCAATCAACTCAGGCTGATGCTTTGCAAAAAAAAAAAAAGCCAGTCTTTTAAGCCAGTAATGACCTATACAGGCATATGGAAACAGACATACTGGAATTCATTCCAGGAGTTGGGGTTAAAAAATCTGAATGCCACATCCCTGTTCCAATCAAAAATGATAGGCCTTCAGTTTAACCCTTACCCAATGACTGGCAAAGAATCTGCAGACAATGTAAGTAACCTTCCAGCAGCATTAATAGCTAACATTCTGTTGAGAGTGGGCAGAAGGCAACCTCTACCCATAGCATTCTGTGATTTCTGGCTTACTTTTGTACAACCTAGAGATTGCCCCCTTTCTGCAATGAGGCTTTTGTAAGGGTTAGGATGTTCCGCAAGTTAGGCCCACAGTTAGACCACATTTCACTGCATGCACAAAACAGGGCAACAGAATTCTGGACAAAAAGTTTCAACACACCAGTGTCTGTATCTTTGATATGTCTACAAAGCTTTAAATCCCATACCAAGCCAATAGATATAACTGGTTGGGAATGTGTTAAGACCATAGGAACCACTTAGGCAAGTATTTTAGCCTTCTTCAAGCAGTACAAATTGATCCTTGTAGTTTTAAACTGCTTCTGTGTATAGTTATATATAACTATATAACTGTCAGCAAAATTCAAGATATTAGACCTACATGGAAGTATATGATAAGCCTGTATTGCATTAAAAGGCAACAAAGCAATAGTCTTTGTTAGCATCTTTACAACTTCTAGACTAAGCCTTTTCATTTTTATATCTTTCAAGTGAGCTAATGCTTGGACTGAGTGCTTGTGCACCAAGGTTCAAGTACAGTAGACTCTTTTAAAGCCACAAATGAAGGCAAAGTCCTCTTACAGATGCTTAATACTGGGAAAGCTGACATAACCCTTCTGTTACAGCAACTCCATTAGCTGCCACTCCACTTCTGGGCAGAATTCAAAGTGATGGCTATAACCTATAAAGCCCCAAACAACTTGGGCCCAAGCTGTCTTAAGGACTGCATCTCTCTTTATGACCTGCTGAAGTGTTAACATCAGGAGAGGCTTTCCTCTCAGTCCCACCCCCTTCACAGGTGTGTTTGATGGGGACACAGGAGAGGACCCAGACTCTGCAACCCCCTCCCACAGAAGGCTAGGCTGACCCCATCTTTAATGTTCTTCTTCAAGCAGGTGAAGACCTTTCCCTTTAGTCAAACTTTCCCTTAGTGACTGGCTGCCAAGTGGGGTTGTAAAAATAGATTGTAGTACCATACTGCTTTGCATGTATTTTGGTGTCCCTTATGCTTTTTGGCATTGTACTCATTGATCCATCCTTTTAGTATTGTATACTCACTGCTATTAGCTTAAATGCTGCCTTTTAACTGTTGTAATCTGCCTTGGGTCTTTTTTAAAGAGAAAGGTGGGTTAAAATATTTTAAATAAATTGGTCACATAGATAACAGAAGTGGTTACAAAGTTGCCACTTACTTCTCTTATTTGCACAGATAACATGACAACACTTTAGACTGAAGGAATCGTTTACAAGATTCTCTTCCGTTATGAGTGACCTATGAGTGACCGAGTGTGTGGGTTCCAGAAAGACCAATACCTCAGGCCTAAAAAGGAGATGGAGACTTGCAAGGGAAGATGGGATGGTGAGCCTAATACAAACCTGCAAAGAGTTGCAAGAGATAAAAGGTTCTATATCAGCAAGAAACTGCATGTGTGGGCAGAAGTTCTAAATTTGGACTCATTTGTCCAGACAAGAAAGGGGAAGCAGGCTGGCTGGAATCAGGTCTGTGGTAAAGGAAGCAAACCCTTGAACAAATCAACCACAAGCAATTCTGGGGTCAAGGACCTTTTGTTCTTTTAAGTAATTAATTTTCCCTTCCTCCAGCAAAACACCAGAACTGTTGTTGTGTGGCAGGTAAAGCACTAGTGTGGTGAGAACAGACCTTGGATGATACAGCGCCTTATCTAGAAAGCATTCAGGTTCCCACAGATCCAACTCCTCTCTCCTGCCTTCCACAAATTTGGGAGGAGAGAAAGAAGATGAAGTGCCAAGAAAACATTGTGCTATTGGGCAGAGAAGAGATTATACTCCTCCCATTCAACATCTGTGCAGACAGATTAAAGAGAAATAAGGAAAAGTAGGAGTAAAGCTTCCTGTTAAAGGCTTTTAATTGAAATAGTATCAGCTGCGGGTCCTGATGGCAATTTTTAAAGCATATATTTTAATTGTATTTTAATTGTTTTGTCTTTTTATTGTATTTTAAATGTTGTAAGCCGCTCAGAGACCTTTGGGTAGTGTGAGCGGCATATAAATTAAATAATAAATAAATAAATAAGCATCTTCCATTAAAGCTGAGAAAAACCGAAAGAATGAAATAACCTCTCTGTGCCTGGATAGTTATTTCCCTCTTTAAGAAGGAGGGAAGAAAGTCCAAACTCTACCATACTCAAGCGGGTTGGTGTGGGGAACTCAATAAGAAGCATAGTGGTGGTCGAGAAAAGAAAGCCAGTTTTAATGGTCCTATCCAGAGATTTATGAAGAGGACATATTAGAGGAAAGGTGAACTTCCTCATAACAAAACCCTCAAAACGCTAGGCCATCTTGTCATGTATGCCATCTTGAGTTCTTCAGAGTTTAATAAACAATAAGAAAAATGAATATCCATAATAAGCTACAGACATCTGGAATTTCCCCTTCCTGGAAAATCTGGAGCTAGAATACAGTACTTACAAAATGAAACAGAAAAGATTGCACTTTCACAAATCTACTGCAAATAGAACTTCATGTGTCTAAGTGAAAGCTGGGCATAATCATCCTCCTGGAAGTCGGACCCTCTGACCTGGAAATGTTTCCAGTCAAGTTGAGGATTACTCCAGCAATCACAAGCCCAAGCATCTACAAAGCTACTGCAGAAGTGCCTATTATGCCTCATGCACATAAGCAGTAGCTTCCCACTGTGCAGATATAGCAAAACAGAGGCAAGTATCATGTAGGTGTGACTGTATACCTCCAATTCCACCCACACTCCAATGCAAAAGGGAAAAGTGGTGCCCAAAGGTTGATTTCAGCCATGGGGCAGGGATTGAAATCCACAACTGCATTTAATTAAAAGAAACCCTAACTACCATTGCCCATCATTGTTTGCTCATCAGCCTTGCTTTTCTTCCCCCCCCCCCGCCTTCTCCACCCTCAACTGTTCCCACCATGTCAAACACTTTGAGTGCAAACCTGTCCACTGGGTACCACTTACCCATCAAAACCTGACATTTGTTCTATTAAGAAACAAGAACAGCTGGAAATATAGGGAGGTAAAGATGACAACAATAACAACTGTGGTGATTCTACGGTGGCAAACAGGCTGCCCAACTAAGGAATCAACTGCATATTTCATTAACTTTTGATTTATCCCAAAAAAACCCCTGAGATCCACCTGGGCAAAGTGCGGCCCGAGGGCCACATACGCCCCGCGAGCCTCTCCAGTCCGGCCCGTGGACAGTTTTGAACATCAAAACCATTTATAGCTTTTTGTCTAAAGTTGAACAGTTGCTTATCTTTAACATAATGAAAACAACCTCTTTAGTATTTGTGAAGATTAACAAGTTTAAAATAAAAACAATCATAACATCACTGTTTCATTTTATTTTTAAGTAAAGTTGGTTCGGCCCCCAAACACAGTTCAGATTTTTCATGTGCCCCCCCCTATAGAAATCAATTGCCCACCCCTGACTTAAAGGCTCCATGCTGGGCCTTCTTTCAGAGGGCAGGGGAAGAGGAGCCCTCAGAGGCCTGCAACCCCACCTGGGCAGAAAGTCAGACTTAGACTTACCAGAAGCCATACCTAGGGTTGTATGGGGAGGGGGAGAGAATCCTCCCTTCAACAAACCATTTAAAAAATAATACTAAGCAGAGCATACTTCAAATATGTACAGTGGTGCCTCGCTAGACAGTTACCCTGCATGACAGTTTTTTCGCTAGACATTGACTTTTTGCGATCGCTATAGTGATTCACAAAGTGATTCCTATGGGGGAATTTCGCTGGACAATATTTGGTCCCTGCTTCACAAACCGATTTTCGCTAGATGACGATTTTGACAGCTCCCTCCGCGCTCGCAAAACGGGTGTTTTCGGGACCTAAGCTTTGCAAGACAGCTTTGTGGTTCGCAAAGCGGCTTTCCTATGGCCGATCTGATCTTCGCTAGACAACGATGATTCTTCCCCATTGGAACGCATTAAACAGGTTTCAATGCATTCCAATGGGGAAATGCTTTTTGCTAGACGATGATTTCGCTAAACAGTGATTTCAGTGGAACGGACTGTCTAGCCAGGCACCACTGTATACGGATAAGATAAGCATGGCTATTCTTTCTACCCAGATCCCATAGAAAGTAGCCCGTTCGAGGTGTCTCTCGGTAAAATGCTTCATTTTCTTATACACCGCCTTTCCGCACAACTGGCAAAAGGCGGTCAACTGAACCTCATGTTAAAGGGACGGGGGGGAGGGAGAGAAGAAGGCCGCCCTGAGCGCCGCCTTCCTGCGGGTCCGTCCCCCTCCCCGCGGATTTCACTGGGGGTGCGCCCCCTAGAGGCGTCCCGCCGGCTGCTCGCCCGCCC